CCGAGGCGCTGCTGGGCGAGCTGGAGGCGCGGGTGCAGGACGTGGTGAGGGCCAGCTCGTGGTGGGAGCGCCATGGCGTGGACTGCGCCATCCTCGGGCTCAGCGTCCTCGCCTTGCCGGCCGGTGAGGCGCGGGGAGCGGTGGCCGCGGCCGGCCGGGTGGGGAGCGGGAGTGAGTGATGGAGACGCGGGCGCGGGGGCGCGGGGTGCGGGAAGAGTAGACGGCAAGTGACCCGGACTTCAGGACCAGGGTGCTCCCCAAACCCGAAAATCTGATTGGGGGTGTTCTGCCCGGAGTCTCCAGAGGCACCGGTGCTGGAGGAGGGAAGAGGCCTGAGGGCCGAGGGGATGGAGGGGAAAGTTGAGAGCAGTGGGGGTGGGGGGGGGGGAGGGAAGAGGTGGCCTGGGGAAGGGGAGGGTGCCCGGACGCAGGCCGGGCTGGGCGGCTGGGAGCAGGGTGGGAATTTGCCTGGACTCCTCCGGGCGGGCGCCCCTCGTGCCCCAGCCAGGCTGCAGTCCTTTCAGAGTCCCCTTGCCGGTCAGTGGGGCTCCGTTTTACCCCAAATCCCATAGAACAGGCCAGCCCAGCCCCCGCAGGGGGTCCTGCCACATCGCTGCCAGTGGCCGCAGACTCGCCTGCTGCCAACTTTGCCCTGGTCGGATGGGGGTGGGGAGTCAGACGCAGATCTCCAAGGGCCTGAGGAGACCCCGGCCTGCCCCCCGCCCCTCCTCCTCGCAGGGTTTCTGTGCCTGCGCTCTGAGAATGTCCTGGTCTTCGCCCTGGGCATTGCCATCCTGGGCGTGTGCCACTACACACTCACCGTGAAGGGCAGCCACCTGGCCACTCACGGTGCCCTCACCGAGTCCAAACGCTGGAGCAAGATCTGGGAACTTTTCTTCGTGGAGGTGAGCCTGCGGGTGGTGGGCTGCCGCAGGCACCCTGGGCGCGGCGTGGAGGGTATATGGCTGTGTGCACCCGCGTGGGCACACGGCACACGGCACCCACCGTGTGTGAGTGAGTGTCCGAGGGGCCAGGTGGACAGAGAACGGCACGAGGGCTCGGCTTCCCTGGCAGTGGACATGTCCTGCCCTTGGCCTGGGCGCCCTCCCACTGGCCACGCTGCAGAGGAACAGGACAAGAGGATCGGGGGTTCTGGATGCTCAGGGTCCACTGCAAGACAGTTTCCTTCCAGGGACTCCAGGGGGCTGATCTGAGCTGGGTTCTGAGGCCCCGCAAGTAAGTGACCCGTGAAGAGAATCAGGGGAGAAGCAGAGCAGGGCTGAAGGTACGAGGCCCCGGCTGGAGAAGCTGTTTGCTCTGCTGAATCTGCGCCAGCCGCCAGGAGCTGGGGCAGCTGAGAGTGAGCCGGGCTTGCAGGGTTTGGACTAACTGACCGCAGGGAATGGATCCTGCTGAAGTGACTCGCAACCTCAGGCTTTGGGGTGCAGGTGAATGACCTGGCGGTCCGGGTTTGATGGAGAAGTAAAGGCCCCCCAAGGCACTATTTTCGCCAAGTCCCCTGGGTGAACCTGATCCCACCCAAATTTGAGAACCCCCGGCCTAGACGCCTCGGGACACAGGAGCTGTGGTGGGTGCCAAGCGACCGTACCTCCCCCGAGAAGCCTCCCGCCCCGCTGTCAGCACCCCTCAGTCAGCGTGTCACCTCCCTGAGGGCCCGGCTGCCGCTGCCCCCTCCCTGCCTCTTGGGCTTGGGCTCCCGGCCAGGACTTGCTGGGCCTCTGTCGCGCTTTGTTGACAGTGACCCAGCAGATGACAGGCAACAGGGCTGATTGCTGATGGAGGGCCACAGTCTAGAAGTGGGTGCGCCCTCGTGGGGCAGCACCTCTGGGTGCGGCACCCTCCAGCTGTGCGGGCAGCCCCAGTGGGCACCCTCCTCCTGCAGGGCCCGGCTCTGGCCAGCCTGTGGGGAGAGTCCGGGTCCCATGTGGAGAGGGGGTGGCCCTGCACTCCCTGCCCGCTGGCACGGTGGGGACGGTGTGGGGAGCAGCGGGCGGGACCGTGGGGCGGGACGGGACGGTGTGGGGAGCAGCGGGCGGGACCGTGGGGCGGGACGGGACGGTGTGGGGAGCAGCGGGCGGGACCGTGGGGCGGGACCGGACGGTGTGGGGAGCAGCAGGCGGGACCGTGGGGCGGGACTGGACGGTGTGGGGAGCAGCGGGCGGGACCGTGTGGGGAGCAGCCTGCCAAGCAGCTGGCCCTGCAGTCGGCAACTAAGTGTCAGCGTCCTCAGGTCATAAAGAGGAGCAACATTTCCTCCTTCAGGAGGCCGTCAGGAGGCCAGCGTGCCTCGAATGGGTCAGCCGGGATGTCCATTTCGGGCTGACCCTGGGGCGCTCACCGAGCTCCTGCGTGAGTGTGTGGGAAAGGGTTGGTGTTCGCTGTGTTTCCTTTGTTCGACCTTTGCCTCTCTCAGCTGAAAGGTTACTGTGGGTCTGGAAAGCTCCATGGAGCTTGTGTTTGTGTGTGAGTGTTTTGCATGTGTTTGCATGTGAGGGTGTGTTTGTATGTGTGTGTGCACATGTGTGCGAGAGCGTGTTTGCATGTGAGGGTGTGGAGAGTGTGTTTTGCATGTGTTTGCATGTGTGTGTTTGCGTGTGAGTTTGTGCGCGAGGGAGTTTGTATGTGAGTGTGTTTGCCTGTGAGGGTGTGTATGTGAGTGTGTGGCGAGTGGGCCTGGCCCGCCCTGGTCCCCGTGCCGCTGCCCACAGCCCCCGGTGACCCTCCTGGGTCCCTGCCTCTGCTGTGACCTCTCTCTGATCCTTGCCCTGCGGGGTGCTTGTCCCCACCTTGACCCTCAGAAGCACCATGACTGAATGACCCCGTCCTCCCGTCCTCCCGTCCTCCCGTCCGTCGTCCAGCACTCTCTGGCTGTCCTGGCCGCCAGCTTTGCTGGGCGTGTCCCAGGGTCTGTGGGCCCCTGCTGGGTGGGACAGGCCCCCCTGCGGCCCTAGCAGAGGCACAGCACGCGGGGAACGCTGTCACCTGCGTCTGACCTCTGTAGTGGTGCAGAGAGCTGAGACCCCCCAGCCTGCAGGGCTCTGGAACATTCTCTCCCATGAGCTGGGCTAGGCCCAACTCTCTGTTTGTCCCCACCTGAACCCCACGGGTGTTAATCTGAGGAGCCTCGGGGACCATTTCAACTATGATTTATTTTAATTTTTAGATTAAAGTTTTCATACAGAGGGCTCACCCAGACCCGCAGGGCCAACAGACCTCTGTGAAGATGGTTCAGTTTTCAGTGAGTGCAGATCAGGGACACGGGCGTGTTTCTGCAGGTGCCGGGCCGCGCTGGGAGACGCTCGCCCCTCCGCCCCTCTGGTGTCCACGTGCCGCCTCACCTCTGTGCGTCCCCAAACTGCACTCTGGTGTAGCTCCCCGCCCCCAGCCTTGAGATCAGCACTTGGGCGGGGGCTGGGGTGATGCCCGCTCTTGGGCATCACTAAAAAAGCCTGGCACCTGGTCGCAGGGGCCCTGGGGGGCTCCCCTGTGGCCCCTGGAGTCAGTGGGGGCACCTCTGCGTCCCAGGTGGGGGTGGGGCGAGGGAGGGGCTAGGAGAGGAAAGGGCAGGTCTGGGGCAGCGGGCTGGTGAGGAGCCTCTGCCCGAGGCCGGTTTGGGGGGAGCTCTGGGGGCCGAGCCGGCAGGCGCAGATGCCGGCTGAGACAGGCTCTCCCCATCAGTGAGCTGCTGCCGCCGCCAGGCCTTCTGCTGGGTACTGGGGGCTGGGGACCAGGGGTGCACAAGACCCTCTTCCCGTTCCCAAGTGGGGAGCGACACGACAGGCCCCGGGACCAGGGCCTGAGCCGCGCTGGCTGTTGCTATGCCCGAACTGCTCACTGCGCCCCGACGAGGTCCAAGCTGTTGTTACCCCACTTTCGTAGAGGAGGAGACACTGGTCCGGGAGGGTCAGTCTCCTGCTATGTCCCCTGGCTGGCAGCAGGACACAAGGGCATCGAGCAGGTGGGGCGAAGCTGTGTGGGCACAGACGGGGGCGCGGTGGGGACTCTGGGCAAAGTGCAGGCCGACGGGATGTCACAGCTGGTGACACGGGTAGGTGAAGGCCACAGTGCCAATAAACACCCTGCAGGGCACAAGTCAGCCCCAACATAGGCGAACCCCGCCCCCACGTCGGCAGGGCCGGGACAGAGACCCGGGCGGTGTCCGGAGCGGGCAGCGCGAGGCACAGAGGCAGGAAGGCGGTTTGGGGTGGAGCAGAGGGACAGAGGTCTGGATGTGGGAAAGGGCACAGGGCCTGAGGCACACTCAGAAATCTGGGGCCACTAGGGGACGGAAGGAGGTCCTGGAGATCCATGTGCCCAGCCGGGAGCCGGGAGGGTCCCCGGGAGACTGGCCAGAGCCGCGGTGGACTGGGCACTGGCCAGTGGTCAGCACGCGGCCCTCGGGCCCTCGTGCTCTGCCCCTCTGTTCTGGAGGAGCCGGGACACCCGTGAGGGCCGAGCGCCGAGGCATGCACGGCGCCTCGGCGGGCTGCCCCGAGCAGCGTGCTGACCCCACTGTCCACTTGCCTTTGAACTTCGGGCCCTCACACATGCGTGTAATAGTTAGGGCGGCCTTCCACGCAAACGCTGTCTACCTGAAGCTGGGATTTAACTGGGTGACCTACATTTCATCGGATAAACCTGTCACGGAGCCCGCGGAACCCCAGGGGTCCCTGCCACTGTAATGCTGGACAGGAAGGGGGTAGCTTGGCTCCTGGAGATCAGAGAGGAGGTCTGGAAGGAGGAAGGAGCTGGGCACTTTCCAGCCCAGGGTCCCTCTGCCTGAGGGACACTGCTCCCCGAGGCCCACCGCTCCCCCCACCCCCCGCACCTGCTATCTCTCATCTCTGTGTGGTCCCACTGTCCCCCAGCTGGAAACCTGACCTTGGCCTCCGATGCCTCCTCCTCCCACGCCTCACTTCCCCCAGGGCTGGCCCCACCGCCCCCCTGAGCCAGCCGCCTGGGCCCCGGGCCTGCCCTCCCGGTCTGCAGACCTCCTTAAACCCAGCTTTGCGTCATAGTTTTATCATGATGGTTTTTAATCTTGCAAATATGGTTCATTTAAAAAATGAGAGGCGAACAGTAGAGGAGCACCTGAGAGGTGGGGCACCTTCCTGGGCCCCGGGAGGGAGTCGGGGGGAGTGGGGGGGCTTGTGCTCTGCGCATTCTGTCAACACGGTTGATCCCTTTTCCAAAAACAAGCGATTTTTTAAAAACTAACTTAGATGATTGCTTTGGTCACCGGCAGAAATCCGGGGCCGCATACGTGAGTAGAAGCTGAGTGAGGAGATAAATAAATGGAAGAGATTTGGGGGGTCCCGCGTTTCCGCTAAGAGACGATGTCAAGAGGCGCCACGCAGCGCGCCCTGGAGCCTGAGTGCTGAGAGGTTGGGGCTCTTACGTCTTCCTGAAACTTGAGGCTTCTGCAGCTTTCTCTAGGTCTCGATATGGAATCGGGGGGACTTAAATAAGGCTCGTGGCAGGACTGTCTGTGCCTCGACCACCCCTGCGGGAGGCCACTGCCAGGCTTTGGCCCCGCTCGCTGCTCTGTGCAGTCTGGCTTCCAGCCCGCACCTGCCCTTGCCTCCTCCGTCAGAAAGATCTAGAGGGAGCGGGAATTCCACAGGAGTAGCCTCAAATCTGTTATTTGTATAAAAAGGCTCCATGCTATTTGTATAAAGAGGTGCAGGCCCCTGGCCTGGGCTAGCGCTGGGCTGGGGACGAGCTGCAGCCCCGTGCCAGAGGAGACCAGCCTCGCCCCGGGCAGATTGCCGTGCCCAGCCAGTGTCCCCGGTGGAGCAGGCAGCGCAGAGAGGCAGCCCCGGGGGCAGCGGGCAGGGGAGGGCGCGTCCACGCGCTGCTTTTCCAGTGATGCGGGCAGAGTGGCGCTTTCGGGCCGTGGCAGAGGCCCGCTGGCCAGGAGGAGGCCCCTAAGGCTCCCCTGTGCCCCCGAGCCTGTGCCAGAGGCGCCTGCCGCCGCTGGCACCAACCTTGAGAGCCGGCGGGTGCCAACTCTCGAGCAGGCAGATCCTCCAAGGCCTGGACGAGACCCGGCTTCACCTGACCACGAGCTGCCCACCCCGCAGTCTCACTGGGAGTAGTGTCCACGGTCGACTGCTGGAGAGTTTCCCAGGTCAACGCCAGGGTGTGGACCGGAGGCCTCTGGCAGGGTTTACTCTGCGGGAGCTGTTCCAGCAAGCACGAGTTTTCTTGTTTCTCAAAGATGTACTTACTTAGGGCCTCCCCGGGGGCGCAACGGGTCAGGACGCCGCCTCAGTGTGAGTTCGATCCCCGCCCCAGAGGTGACCCACGTGGCGCAGCAGACCTCTCACCCGCTGCTCCCCTCAGCACTGTACTTCGTGGATCTGCCTGTTCTGCTCCCCACTCTGTCTCTGGCGAATCCTCTCACCACTCCTGCACTTCTGGCCTGTACCCCAGTTCTGTACACATACATAAATAAACCTTTTAAAAAGGATGTTTTTATGCACTCAAGAACTGGGGTACAGGGCAGAGATGTGGGGTGAGAGGATTCACCACAGACAGAGTGGGGAGCAGAATAGGCAGATGCACTGAAACCCACTGCTGAGGGGAGCCGCGGGGAGACAGGAGGGGTCTGCTGCCCCCTGGGGCTCCCTCCCTGGCCGGGCATGTATTTGTGCTGCAGGGGCTGCGGACAGCTTCCTAGTGCCACCCGGGAGGGCCCGCAAGCGCGGGTTTGTGTGTAGTTTATACACGCGGGAGCAGTGTCGCTGACACTAACGTGCTCTGGGGGGCTCCTGGCTGGGCTCTGAGCTCCGCTCTCTGCGCACAGGCCCGGCAACCTGCTGCAGTGCGCTGGGTGTGCAGGCCCGTGCTCCCTGGTCTCCGGCCGGGCGGAGAGACCAGCTTCACGGGCAGCAGATTTTGCACAGACGCAAGTCTTTGCAGAGGTCAGGCCTTTGCAGATGGCCTTGCTCTCGTCCGCTGGCACACGCTCGCCCCACTGTGAGCTTCTGAAGCCAGAGCAAAAGCTGCCCTTGGGTTCGCCACCTGCGTCAGAGTCAGGGGCCCGGCAGCAATGCTGAATTAGCATTTGCCCCGTCCTCTGTCCTCAGGGGCGGGCCGGGAGGCTGTTTGGACACTTCTGCCCTCATCTGTGATGAAACCCGAGTGCCCTTTAGCCAGACCTGCGGCTCCCTTTCAGCTTTCTCATTCCCAGGGAGCGTCTCGGGACAGCGTGGGGTCAGTGTCCTGTCTTCTGCTTTGGCCGCTGCTGCCGGACAGAACCAGGCGTCTGCTCTGTGGAGTCAGTGGCTCATCTCTGGAGTCTATGCTCATCTCGGATGGCCTCTCGGCTCTTACCTGGCCCCGGAGTGCCCTGGGGTGGTCACGTGAAACCCCTCCAGCTGTTACTGCGTGTAACACTGCCCGAAGATGACCGGGGCCAGCGGTGAAGGGCACCACACGCTGCAAGGCCCCTGCCTGGCTCCAGGTGCTTCACCTCTGGACGAGGCAGCGCGTCTCCAGATTGGCCACCCCTGGCCTGGGGGAGCGGAGAGGCTGGCTGGCGTCGCCGGGCTCCCTTGCCTACCTCTGCATAAGACCCCTCAGTGTCTTTGCCTTCAAACGCCTGCTTTTCTTGGGGTCCCAAGCTGCTCTGCACAGGAGCAGCTCCGGAGATTCCCTCAAGGGTGAAAAAGCCAGAGAAGTGTCTACTCTAGGGAGAAAGCCCCCCCGCTCCAGGACAGCCCAGAACACAGCCTCCCCAGCCCTTCCCTCGCTGCTTGGGTTGCAAAGTGGTGCCGTGAGCAGAGTGGCAATCTGGGGAGATCGCCACACCCACAGGGCCAAGTGGATGTGATGTTTCACTGGCTGCCACGGCTGATTAGCTGGGGCGTAAGACAGGAGGCCCTGGAAACGCAGCAGGGGGGCAGACGGGGGCTCGTGAGGTCCCGCAGGTCCTGCTTTTAGGGTTAGGGTGCTCGGCTGTGCCTGAGGCCGCCCGCCTCCGGCCCTAGGTCTGCACAGCCTTCACTGCAGAGTATGCCAAGTACGGACACGTGAAGATGCACCACGGCTACACCAACGTGCTGGGCCTGGGGGACTCGAGCACCTGGCGGCTGCCCTACCTCAACCGCTACGTCTACATGCTCCTGGCGCCTCTCTTGATCCCGGTCATCACCCCGCTGGTGGCTGTCGGTGAGTCTGCCAGCCCCGCCCGCCTTCCTTCCCCACCTTCCTGGCTTGGAGGAAGCACAGATCCCTGAGTTACGACCTGGCAGGAACCTGGGGAGACGGCCAGGCAGGGGGACAGTGCCTGGCCTCGGGGCTGAGTCTGGTCCTGCCGATTCCGGCTGGTGGCCATGGACAGGTCGCTCAGCCTCTCTGGGCCTCGGCTCTTACCTGCTCCTGAGGGTGAGGCCGCGGGCAGCGCGGGGCAGGCTCCGCAGGCCGCGCACAGCACCCCGCACTGGTAGCGGTTCTTACCGAGGGGCTGGGTCCCGGCGGGAGGAACCGGCCCTGGGCGCCAGCCGCAGGTCCTGTGCGGCCACCAGAAGGGCCACGGGAGCGGCTTCCAGCTCCTCTTCCTCCTCCTCAAGTGGGGGCATCTGCTTCTCTGGGCGCTGTGTGGCTGAGCTGAGCCTCGAGCGCCCCAGAGAGGAGCTCGGTGGGGCCTGGCCGGCCGGCGCCCTCACTCCCGCCCCTGGCTGTCTGGCAGAGCGGCTGCGCAAGCTGGAGCCCGGGCTGGCTCTGCGCTCGCTGGTTCTCATCTCGCTGGGCCTTTACTCCCACTACTGGCTGCTGCTGAACCTGTCTGGCTTCAAGAGCCCCGGCTCCGCCCTGGGCTGCATGCTCGCCACCAGGTCCCTGCTGGCCCACCCCTACCTCCACGTCAACATCTTCCAGGTGAGGCCTCCCCTGCCCTGGGAACTGGGGGGCCCTGGGAGCACGCCTAGGGGCCTGACTGTGGACTGGACTCTGGTTCGGGGGAGAGGCCACGTGAGGAAGCCCCCCCTCCTCTCCCAGCCCCCCACCTGTCCTCCTTCACTCAGTCTGGGCGCCGGGGGAGGCTTCCGCTTCTCTTCGACCCCGCCTGCATTCGCAGCCGGGTGGGCGCTTTCTCAGGAGCATCTCTGCGCAGGGCCCTGGCTTAAGCCGTGGGGACACGAGGGATCGGGAACCCCGCTTCGGCCATCAGGGCGCACATCACGATAAGCCCAAAGCACGTGGAAGGGGGTGGCCGGGCAGGAGGCCAGAGGAGCTGGAGGGGCTGGACGTGGAGCGCTCAGGAGGCCAGGGTGCAGGCCTCGGCCCGCCACTTCCGCAGCGAGGCTGCCAGCTCACTCCACGCCCCCGGGGCCAGGATGGCGCTGCTGGGAAGCGCTCATGCACCCTCCCGTGAAGTGGAAGAAGTGACGAGGGTGTGGAGACGTGCACGTGGCAGGACTCTGGGGAGGGGAGCAGGCAGGGCCCCCCAGAGAGGCGAGGGCACAGCCACAGGAGAGAGAGCGGCGGGCTGCGTCAGGCCGCAGGGCGTCGGGGGGTGCCCGGGGCAAGCCCCTCCTTGCACCAACGAGGAGAGAAGCCCAGAGCTGGGCAAGACTCGGCGTGGACACAGACAGGGGCCCTCCAGCGCCTCAAGCGCTGCGGGAGCCACTGGCGAGGAGGCAGGAGAATGTTCCGCCGGGTTCCACGCGCTGGGGAGGGCGGGCCTGGGCGGCAGCCGGTCCCGGTCGTCACCCGCGTGTCTGCCACAGCACATCGGGCTGCCCATGTTCTCGCTGGACACGAAGCCACGGCGGATCCACATGATGAGCCTGGGCGTGCTCAACCTGCCGCGGCTGCCCGTGCTGGACTGGGCGTTCGGCCACTCCATCGTCAGCTGCCACGTGGAGCACCACCTGTTCCCCAGGCTCTCGGACAACATGTGCCTGAAGGTGGGCGGCGCAGGGCTGGGGGGAGGCGCGGGGCCCCCTGAAGCCAAGCCCCCGCTGGCCGGGAGGGTGGGGGTCTGGGCTTTGAACCCGGCCTCTGGGCGAGTCAGCGGACCGTCTCTGAGCGGCAGCTTCTGCGCCTGTAATGCGCGAGGCGCGGTGCTTCCGGCGACAGCCTCTGCTGGGCACACTGGGGCGTGGTAAAGGGGGCTGAGCGCCTGACCCCCGGTGCCAGGGCCCGCCTGCTGGGGAGCCCCGGGAGGCCGCTGGGGAGAACCCCCCACCCAGGCCTGTTGGGAGGGAGGAAGCAGTTCTCCCAGCCCCTCAGCTCCTCCAGAGCATCGTGGAACACGCAGATAGGAGGTGGAGTAGGGAGAGGCAGGGGCTGGGCGCGAGAGGAAGCGGGAGGGCTGCTGCAGTGGGCCGCCCGCTCAGCGGCCTCCCTCGTCTCCCGGCAGGTGAAGCCCGTCGTGTCCCGGTTCCTCCGGGAGAAGCAGCTGCCCTACAACGAGGACTCCTACCTGGCCCGCTTCCGGCTGTTTCTCAGTCGCTATGAGGAGTTCATGGTGCACACCCCCCCCATCACTGAGCTGGTGGGGCTGCAGTGAGGTGTGGGCGGCCGCCCTGCCCCACCCTGGCTGTGCTGGCCCCCCAGGGGCTGGCGCTGGCCCTTCCCAGCAGTTGCTGGCCATGGGTAGAGCAGGGGTTGGGGGCACTGTGAGGCAGAGGGCTGCTGTGGGGCCTGGGGTCACCTGCCCTGCTCACTTGACTGGGCTTTGAGACTCTCTAGAGGAAAGCCCTGACCTTGGTTAACTTCACCTCAGGACTGAACAGCTGGGTCCTTCCCCCTCCGGCGACCCCTGCTCTGCCTGAGCCTTGGAGGGCCGAGGGGCGAGAGGGGCTCTGTGCAGGGGCACTGAGAGCGGGGTTGCCCCTCAGCTGGGGCCCACGCCTTCCTGTGCCCTTGAGGCGCTGGCTCCTGAGGCACCCTCTCCCCTGGGCCAGCCCTCCTAGGTCCCAGAGACCTGTGGGGACTCGCTCAGCACTCGGCCAGCACTCGGCCGACCACAGCTTCTGGGAGGTCCGCGTGTGTGCCCTGTGGGGAGCACGCACAGGGGAGACAGGACGGTGTGCGTGGCTGAGCGTGGCCTTGCTGGCCCCAGGGAAAGCCTGCTTTGTCCTACGAGGTTTAGGAGGGGACCTGAAAGACCAGTTTCAAGAGAGAATTGTGGGGAAGGCCCCTGAGGCTAGGGGACGGCGCCCAGGGCCCAGCTGTGGGTCTGCTGGTCCTGGTGGCCTCTCCCCACCTGCGGTTCTCATTCCTGTACAAGGTCAGAACCGCCCGGTCAGTCAGTTCTTGGAGCCCAACCGTACCAGGTGCCTTCCAGATCCAGCAAGAGCAGAAGGCCTGAAGGGTGCGCCTGGCGAGGCGTGACCGGGAACGCAGGGGCTGTTGACGCCTTGTTGACAAGATGGGGCCGTGGCCGGGGACTGGGTCTGGCCTCAACGACAGCTCTTGGTCATCAAGCAGATAAGCACTGTCTGGCCAGCAGACTCCTGCTCCCCAGAGGACGTAAGCTCATTCCCAGGTGCACCCCTTCTCTCCTACCCCACGCTGATGCTGTGTGGTTATTCTGACAATAAACAGCCAGGAGCTGGCTCGTTCAGCAGCAGCCTGCTCGCGAGTCCCGTTTGTCGGTTGGGGGTTGCCATTGCGACAGGGCCAGGCAGCTTTAGAGATGGGAGAAAGGAGGGAAAGGGGGTGCAGACACAGGAACTGGGCTGGCCTCGGGAAAAGCTGGTCT